CCCCAAAACCCCAAAACCCCAAAACCCCTAAGTAAGATTCAAAAAAGCATTGTAATAGATTAAATAAAGAAGTATATAAACATAGGCAATAATAATTTTATATCTTGTTATTATTAATTATAAATAAATATGGATGCCTAAAGAAGGGGCGAAGAGAGTTTTCTGCCAGACCTCAAGGAATTGAAGAATGATCTTGAGTAATACTATTTTGCGTTAAAACACTTCCTTTTATAGTACTTCCTCAGATAATGTGAGTGAAGACTCAGATTCAAGTCTCGAACTCAAAAAAAGAGATCACCCGGATTCCGTACGTAATCATGCATATCTCGCGCATTTTAACTTAATTTTAGTATTAGGAATCGAGAACCCAACAACATTTGATATTAAGGAAAAGAGACATTAAAGGAAATTATAAAGCAAAATTTAATATAGAAAAATTAATGATCGAACACGAGAAGAAAAAAGTAATAATATAAAATTTAATTAATAATTATTGCTCTTAAATTTAATTCTAAACCGCTAGGGACTTTGTTGCTAATTTTTATTATTATAGATTTAACTTACAGAGCTATATGAAAAACGCGATGAAATTTAAGAGCAACTGAATGATCTAAGATCTTCAATCGGTAAAAAAGTACAATCCGGGGATATCTTGGATGTAAAGACTCAATCGTCTAAGTGCCATTGGGGCTTCTTGATAAAGGAAATGAAATGGATGGCAGAAGATTTTGAGCGGGAAACAAAGAAAAAGATTGGAGACACAAAAAAACATGCAAGATCCTGCAAGAAACAGATTCATGAGAAAAAATTAAAAAAAGAAAAAGAACTTAAGGACTAGAAGATTGAAGTCCGTAAGAAGGCTGTTAATATGTCTAGAATGGTATAGTAGTTCTGGAGATCCATAGAGAAAGTAGTTAAGCACAATTATAATGTCCTCTATGAGAAAAAGAGACAATAAATTAGAACAAAAAAATTAGAAAACTTTGTCAGCAAGCATCTAAAACTTAGTGTTAGAGTGGCTGAAGAATTAAATACCAAGTCATTTATTCAGCAGAGTATGCATAATAAAGATGGAACAGATTAAAATATGCTATTGAATGGAGATGAGAATGTAGATCCAAACAAAGGAGGTCAAGTTATAGTTAAGATCTATGGTTCCTAAGATGAATTTACAAATCATAGAGATATTGAAAAACTAAATGATAGCAGGAACGAGGAAAAGATAGAACTTTAACCATATAAAAGATAAAAAGTAAATGTCATTGTCAAAAAAGATGCAAATGGATAATATGAAGTTTTAGAGGAATTCGTTAAGGAAGATGCTGCTTATTCTCAATAGATAATGTCTCAAGTACCAGAAGATAAATAAATTTCAAGGGCATTAATTGCTGAACAAACAGTAGAGATGGCTAAAAGTTTCTAACCTACAGGTTTCACACTGTCATCAGTTAATGTGAAGACTAAAGTGCCATTCTTACTCTAAGGGGATCTAAGAGAATACCAAATTATTGGTCTTGATTGGCTAGTAACACTCCATAATAAGAAACTAAACGGTATATTGGCTGATGAGATGGGACTAGGAAAAACAATTCAAACTATCTCTATGTTAGCATCTCTTGCTTGTGATAAAGGAATTTGGGGACCTCATTTGATTGTTGTGCCTACCACAATTATCATCAATTGGGAAATGGAATTTAAAAAGTGGTGTCCTGGCTTTAAAATCTTGACTTATTTCGGGTCTTAAAAAGAGAGGAAAATGAAAAGACATGGTTGGAGCAAAGAAAACTCATTCCATGTTTGTATCACATCCTATAAACTTGTTATTTAAGATCATTTTGCTTTTAGAAGAAAGAAGTGGTATTACATGGTTTTAGATGAAGCTCAAAATATTAAGAACTTCAAAAGTTAAAGATGGCAAACTCTTCTTAGATTTAATACTAAGCGAAGATTGCTGCTGACAGGAACGCCATTATAAAATGATGTTATGGAACTTTGGTCCCTTATGCATTTCCTTATGCCAAATATATTCAGTAGTTAGTAAGATTTTAAAGAATGGTTTTCTAATCCATTTAACTAATCTATAAATCAAAACTAGACTTTAAACATATCAGTAGTTCAAAAGCTTCAAAGCATTTTAAGACCATTCTTGCTAAGAAGAATGAAAAGAGATGTAGAGAAATAGCTGCCAGAAAAGATTGAACATATTGTCTAGTGCAATCTTTCGAGAAGGTAAAGACTTCTATATGATGAGTACATTAACTCAGATAAAACCAAGCAAACTCTAAATGATACTGACTTCTTTAGTATTATGAATGTTCTCATGTAGCTAAGAAAAGTATGCAATCACCCTGATTTATTTGAGCCTAGATCGATCGAATCTCCTTTTATCATGCAAGATAGGGTCAAATTCAATTACAGCTACTTGATTTACAAGGCATTTCAGAATAATCCTCTAAAAGATGTCAGTCTTTAAAGCTTGAACTTTGTCTTAACAGAGTTCGAAAATATATCAAGAGTTGAATATTAAACAATGTAAGAGCTCTACCCGCGAAGACCTCTCATTCAAGTTATTGGTGAGAATAAAAACCATATTGACAATTTGAGCGATCATCTCTTACAAACTAGACCTATGGCTGATGGATTCGCTATTGGGAGAAGATTGCCAATAAATTGCAATGTACTTGCAAAATCAAATACAAAAAGTCTCCAACACACATTACCAACTGTGCTTCCTTATGAATCCAATATTTTCCATGATATCCCTTCATATCTCAACACCGCTTGTCTACCATTTGCTCAACACTACTATTCACTTGACTCATTTGACTATATGAGATACTCTTAAAGAAATAAAGAGTTCAATGAATTTGATTCTTATATGAGTGCTCTTCACAATGAGGAGCAGAGACTATATCTACTCAAATTTGCATAGAAGCTTATTTAATGGAAATAGGTAGATACTAGTAATAGGAATAACTTGGCTTTCAAGAAACCAGTGTATGGTGAGGACTGCAGAAAAGCAGTAAAGGTAAATCTATTATTTGGTGATGTATTTGAAGTAAAACGACACAAAAATCTCGATAAGAGCAATAAAGACAATATATCAATGATCAATGATCTTGAGAAAGCAGCCTAGACTGTTTTTAACCCATTTTCCCAGAATATTTGTTTTAACTCTGAGTCAAAAGAGCTGAGAGAGCAATTGAACTAAAACATAGTTGAGGATTGGCCTGAGCTTTCAGAAGAGTAGATTGAATAGTATAATAGTCACAACCCACTAATTAAAGAAGTACCTATGAGTCTGCAAATAAAAAACAAAAAGAGGAAGAAACAGCTCAAAGAGCAATTCAAAAAGGAATAAGAGGAGCAATAAAGAAGAATTTAACTCTAGATATAAGAGTAAATAATGAGGAGCAGTCTAGCTCAGCAAGAAGACTAACAGATGGATGATGAGAGTTAGGTCATCGAAAGAATTACTAAAGTTTAAGATAAGGAATTCTTCATTATAATAAATAAGAAGGGAGTTTAAGAAAAAGATGATTTCTCTAATGATAATGATGAATTATAGAAAAGATCGAATTCTAATGTTGAGATAATAATCAATGATATAGAAAGAGAGGTAATAGAGTATAGAAAATCAATTCCATAGGAATAGTTCAACTTTGATATAAATGAAGCATAGAATGATTAAGTAAAACCATCAGCAGAGGATCAATAAATTAATTTGGATGATTAATCACCATACTAGAAAATATATCAAAATGCTAGTAAAAGGTTTAAGAAAGAGTCTGATGCCAATGAAAATGAACTAATCGGAGATGACTAGAAAATGAATATTGAATATGAACTCTAGGAAGGAATTTCTGGGCCATAAGTCAATGAAATCAAGAAAGATATAAGTTTAACTCTTGATGTTATTAAGGAGGATAATTATTTGTAATACAACTTAAAGTAGCTGTTAAATTAATCTCCTGGTATTTTAAAGGATGGCTTGAATGATTAATAAACAAAAGATATAAATCATTTCTCAGCAAGTATCTTTGGAAATAACGACATAAGATAGGAAGAAAACCAGTTCAAGCAGAAGATCACATATAAAAATTGTGAAGGTTTAAGAGAGTTAATTACTACTCCTTTACAAAGAGTGCAGATACTTGAGGAAACTATTAAACACTATAAGTTTATAATACCCAAGTGTGTAGCCACAACTGTAGAGTTTATTCCTTCCAAGATTGTTACTTAAAACCAAAAAGAAAAGGCTTATGAGAGATTCTTGTACCAGAAGCTGATGAGCCACAGAAACGTCAATCAATCTCTTAAGTACTCAAACATTTTGTTTTTCCCTCACAAGAACCTGATTTAATATGACTGTGGTAAATTATAGAGATTGGCTATGCTTCTTAAGAATCTTCACTCTAAAGGGCACAAAGTATTGATCTTCACTTAAATGACTAGAATACTTGACATTCTTGAAAACTTTTTGAACTTACATGGCTATTCCTATGTTAGATTGGATGGTTCAGTCAAAGTTGAGATGAGACAGAGATTGGTGGACAAGTTCAACCTCAATAAGAAGATATTCTGCTTTATCTCCTCCACCAGATGTGGTGGAATTGGTATTAACTTGACAGGAGCAGACTGTGTAATCTTTTATGATACAGATTGGAATCCTGCAATGGATAAGTAAGCCTAGGACAGATGTCATAGAATTGGCTAAACTAAGACGGTGCATATTTACAGACTTATTTCTATAAATACTATTGAGGAGAACATCTTTAAAAAGAGTTTGCAGAAGAGAGACTTTGGAGGTCTTATCATAGAAGGTGGCTTTGACATGGAGTTTTTCAAGAAAGTCTCACTTAAGGACATACTTGAGGATGAAGACTTCTTTAAGCCAAAGAGAAGGAACCTAATGAAAGAAGAAAACATCGTTTTTCATTCTAATAATCAGAATCTAGGTTTGAATGATGATGAAGAGCATGAGAATATACATGAACTTGACTTCGAGAAGTAAAGGGAAATTGAGAGCTATCGAAGAAGATTCGAAGAAGCTCTAGTTAGAATAGAGGATAAAGAGGATGTAATTGCTCTCTAGCAAGCTAAAAGAGAAATAGATGATGAGTTCGATGAGGAAGCAATTTTGTAGCAAGAAGCTTCAGTGACTACTGGTCCCTCTAGTAAATTTGGAGATGCTTAAACACCAACAATTGCAAACTAAGAAGGTGCTTTACCACTTCCCACTGAGGAGGAATAACCAGAATAAGTACCAGCTTTCGATGATAAGAGTGCCTAATAGCTCTAGAAAGAGATGAAAAAGAGCGAATTTATCAACTGGCGTACTCATGCTACTCTAAACGATGTGACTAAGATGTGCATTGAGTATTATGAGCACGGCTTTACTTTTGATTCTTACCTTGATGATCGAGCCAAGAAAGACAATAAATTTGTGAATCCCCTTAAGGACGAAGATGAGGAGGTCAAACAAGACAGGGAAGAGCATCAAGAAAAAGAGGACAACGGCAGTGAGTTTAGTTTCTCAGATGAAGATGAACAGATGTCTTAGAATGAGGATCAATAAGCCATGGAGCAATATGATAGAAGTATGGCTGATTCTCTATACAAGAGAACTAAATACGAGATTGAATAAAAGTATTTTGTATTATGAGGAGGAGCAATATCAATGAGTAAGACTCAATTAGACTTAGAAAGCCATGCTAAGCAATTAAAATGGCTTTTAAAGTTTAAGGGTAATATAAATTAAGTAGTAATGTTATTGAAGAGTTTTATGTTAATTCAATTTTAAGAAATTTAGCTTTAATCTTATGTTAATGAGATAGTTAGTTAATATGAACTTCATTTAAATTCTTATATCACACTTCTTCATTCTTTAGAATGAGAATCCCAGAACCTATCACTTCATTAGTAGGCTCTGTTGACTTTAACATCTTCCTCAAGATTAAGTCCTTGCTCTGATACATATTGTCTGCTGCTAGCTCCACTTCTTCTGCTAGCAACAACTGACTTACCTGTTTTATCAGTTTGATCATTTGCAATGTTGCTTGTAGTCTTGAGTTCTCTAGTGACTGGATTTCTGACTGATGAAGTCTCCTTCTTGTTTGAGTGATGCAGGAGTTGCTTGTAATTCTTTTCATCACCTTTGGTGCTCTCAACTTCATCTCTTTAAATGTCTTCAAATTGCTTGTTAACTTAAAGGGATTTAACACTCATTGCCTTGCTCATTTTAACCTCACCACTTTTATGGATTGGTCTGTAGTCGTCATCAGCCTAGCCTGAGTGCTGACTAATAATGTCATTAATAGCTTCATGGAGGTTAGCATCTTCTAGCGCTTTAAGCACTTATTGAGTCAATTGAGAACCAAGTTTGTCAGCTAGTTTTTGCTCTATCTTACTCTTAATCTTTTGATTAATTCTCTACAAATATATAATTTAAAAAGTATTCTTACATTGTGGGGTCTTGTAGTCTGCTTTGAACTAATAGTGTAAATATCATGGTCTTTTTTGCTCTTCTTTGAACCTGATAACAAATTGTTAGCAACGTTATTAATAGTTTGCTTTAAATCCTTTTGAGAGACAGAGCAGCTGCTTTAACTGCCAAGTGTCGACTTCTTGGTATGCACGTTACCATTCTTTGGTGATATGCCTTAGGACTAATGCAAAATTCTATGCTTGACAATGGGAGCATTCAAAGCTTCTTCATAAAACTTAGCGGGGTTCTTTTTGAATGCCAATGTGTAGTCAATCTTCTAGTCTGCTTTCACAACGTAAGATCTCTCTGGACTTGCCATGTAGATCATATTCTTCTGATCTGGTTCTCTATTAATAAGGTTTCTTTCTCTAATATGCCTGTAGTGCTCAATTGATGAGTTTTTCATGCAAATCAATCTCTTAGTAGGTGAAGTGGCCACCTAGAAACTTCCATTTGGATCCTTATACACTGCGTTGTCAAGTTGCTTCTTATCGTAGTCGTACTCATTGATTGCTTCATAGAATGCCATGTGAGATGCTGTCTTTCTCTGATTTACCAAATCTTAGAAAACATTTTCAAAGTCCTCTTCTAACTATTGGTTCTACAGCCTTAGCTCACCCATTCTCTTTTTGTTGTCTTCCTAGCCATAAACATCGTCATCAACGTTATTAAAGCTTATAAACTTGTTAACTGAATCCTCAACCTAATACTCATATCCTCTATTTCTAATCTGACTTTCTTGGATGGGAACTATCTTGGAATAATCAATTTCATCAAGTTCGTTTGCAGGTTCAGGCAATAGAGTTTCATAGTGATTTCTCTCTTCACGAGGTCTTTAAGCTCTACTTTCGAAGAAGGTCACTGACCCTACCACATCTTGAGATTCACCTTACATCTCTGCATGAGGCTATGATTGCGTCAAGAAGGGCACATACTTCCTAACTGTAGCCATTGATCTCTCTTTTTCAAGCAAGGCTGATTTGCCAACACCTGCGTCTCCATAGCCGCAGAGCTCAAGGTAAACCTTGTCAAAGTACTTATCATTGAATTTGTGGTTGTTCAACTGCAATTCAAATTGAGAGAACTGCTTCTTACTCTGGAGTACCACCTTCTGACTCGAGGTACTGGTTGATACTCTCTCGGTGTCACCATTGTCTGAGGAGCCCAATTAACTGATGTCGGTGTTCTTCCTGGTCTGGCTTTTCCTATTTGACTTGTAGGTATCAAAGATGAGATCTTTGTTGTTCTACTTGAATTCAAGGTCATGCTGAATCTAGCAGAGGTTGTTCTCCAAATCACAAATCTCTCTTTATCTTCTAAGCTATTTCTCATTTTAGTCCATCTACTGTTGAGGAGTGAGAATGGCTCCCTTGCTCTTAGGTGTCTTTGATCTCAGGTTTTGTCTGACCTTCGACTAAACTCCCGAGTACTTGTTGTTCTTAGAATCAGACTAGCGTGAACTTCTGATGCTAGACAAATCATCTGCTTGCTTTGGTGTTCTGTCCTTCTTGCTAGTGAGTTTGATATCTTTCTATGACTGTCTCAGATTGGAGGAAGACTCGCAATTAGCCAAATTAGTCTAAGTCTTGCTCAGGAATTACTGCTTATACATACTCTAAGCTTGTTAACTCTTTTTGTTCTTCACGACATATACACTCACTGTAGCATTGTTCTAGTGTCTGCCAAGAGGAGTTGAAGACTTGTCTCTCTTATCCAGGGTTTGTCCCAAGTACTTTTGAAAATCTTCATCTCTTTGGTTAGAATTATATTTAAGACTTGTTGCTGCCATAGGATTATAATTCCCGTCAATCGAAGCATAAATATCCAAGTCTACAACTCCTTAAATGACATTATTTTTCTTGTTCTCTTTCAACCTCTAAGTCGATTGACCTTTGTTTTCAAGATTATTGTTGCTTTATTTCAAGTTGCTTTTACTTTCTCTGATATCATTCTTATTCGAAGGTACAGGTGTTTTCTATCTATTCTAATTATGAGAAAGAGGAGTCTATCTTTGCATATTATTCGTTTCTCTTAAAGGCTTTAGATTTTATAAACGATCAAATGTGGTGCTTTGTGAACTTTAAGATTAAGCAGCAATTGGAGTTCTTTTACCACTTTTGTTAGAAACTGGACCGCTTGGTGTTCCTTGATGTAGCTGGTGTTTCATTTAACGAATATATTTTAGTATTAAAATTATTCTTTTTGCCCATTCACTTTCAATATTCTGATTTCTCATTAAGGGGTTTTGGGGTTTTGGGGGCATTTGAAAGAGT